TTTCTGACTTATTTGGAATTTTCGTAAATCGGCATAGCAACCATCGTTTTCGGCGTGTCGGAAAACTAGGAACGGTGTTGTTTGATTTTGGTTAACGCGTGGATTTGAATTGCTCTGTTCTTTTGAAGAAAATGGGCCGCGTCAATTGCTTATGCCATCCTAAAGTTTCTTCAGAATTTCTCATGTCTCTAACGCTATTCAGCTACGGTGTGCATGCAGTACAAATGAGAAAATCCTCCACTTATGCAATGCACACAAATGGTGGAGCATTTATAACTAATTAGTTCGGAATATTAGCCCTAATACTGGACGGTAGCAGCATGAAAACGCTTTATCAGAGAAAGTGCTGTGTGCTCACTCTTGCGATCGCTCCTGCTGCTTATTGTAGAACTCATCGAGGAGTGTATCCAGGCAAAACTGGGAAATTGAAGTGCTCAAGGAGCTCTTAAATTCTCATTTTCCCGCTTCGAATCCGTGGTCAACTTTATTTGTGGTCTCGGCTCCCGCGAAGCTCGAAGCGTTCACGCTCACAAAGTCTCTGTTCAGAGAGAATATGAGTTGCACTCACAATCCGCGTAGTACCCATCGCCGAACTTTGTCGGATTCTCTCTGGAAAAATTTTCGTACCGAGCGAGCGAAAATGATGACATGGGCCAGTTGTAACTTGAACGGGACACCGAAGTGGTGGCATGGGCCATCATTGCATCGCCTTGATAAGAAAACTTCGACGAGTTCGGCGATGGGTACTACGCGGATTGTGAGTGCAACTCATATTCTCTCTGAACAGAGACTTTGTGAGCGTGAACGCTTCGAGCTTCGCAGGGAGCCGAGACCACAAATAAAGTTGACCACGGATTCGAAGCGGGAAAATGAGAATTTAAGAGCTCCTTGAGCACTTCAATTTCCCCAGTTTTGCCTGGATACACTCCTCGTTGAGTTCTACAACAAGCAGCAGGAGCGATCGTACTAGTGAGCACACAGCTGTTTCTCTGATAAAGCGTTTTCATGCTGCTACCGTCCAGTATAGGGCTTAATATTCCGAACTAATTAGTTATAAATGCTCCACCATTTGTGTGCATTGCATAAGTCGAGGATTTCTCATTTGTACTGCATGCACACCGTAGCTGAATAGCGTTAGAGACATGAGAAATTCTGAAGAAAATTTAGGATGGCATAAGCAATTGACGCGGCCCATTTTCTTCAAAAGAACAGAGCAAATCAAATCCACGCGTTAACCAAAATCAAACAACACCATTCCTAGTTTTCCGACACGCCGAAAACGATGGTTGCTATGCCGATTTACGAAATTTCCAAATAAGTCAGAAAACTGAAAAAATCAGGGGGTGGCATATACAATTGACGCGCACTGTATGCTAAGGAAACGCCATCCACCCTTGGAGGGCCCGCATCCCTTCGACTTAATATTATATTACTCCTCCTTCGACCTTCGGCCTTGTCGGGAATCCTCGTTTAATCTGTGTTTGGATGAAGCCGGCTGAAATAGCTTTAGGCATCACCTGCTTTTCCGGGGCTTGATTCACCAAATCCAAATGATCTTTTCATCGCTTCGCAGTCGCTCTACTGGTGCCATGATTGTTTTGGTCATTGATACACTAAATTGAATATTGCGGAAAATCCCGCTGGTCAATTTTGGGCTAGGCATTATTCTGCCTCTCTGCGATTTGGAATGGGGGCCAATATGTGGCGCACTCCTTGTCGATTGTTGCCTAACTGGGACCCTCTTTCTTCATCCTTTCTCAGCAAATGGTTACAGCTCAGAAATCGGACGTATGAACGAGTTCACCGCAACGCGTTTGGTGGCAGCATGCCAAACCACGCTCCAGTCGAGTTGCTCCAGTTGCTGCTGGCAACGCAGCTCGTCCAAATCACCAACTAAACTAGTGGGCGGATCGCTTTTGGGGGCGGAGTGCTTTCGAAGTCCTGCTCAGCAACCAAGTGCACAGGATACGCTTTTGGGACGGAGTGCCATTCGAAATCCTTACAGAACCCTTCTCGTTGGAATGACGCCCACATTTCCCTCCCTTAGCAGCCAAGTAACTGCTTCGCTGGAATATATTTTGCATCTCCAATCCTTCCTCCTATCATCAGATGCTGCACTTCGAAGTTAATGGTTGACCTTGGGTGTAAAAGGCTTAAAGGTCACTCTAGAACACGCTTAGACCTCTTGGTTCTTCAGATCGACTACCGGCTTACAGTCAGTTGGTCATGTTTCTTGAAAAAGAAGAGTTGAAATCCTTCTATTATTTATAAGCGCTAACTTTGTGTGTCGGTTTGTGTATCTGTATGTGTGTGTGTGTGCGTGTGTGTGTATGTATGTGTGTCCGTCCGCAAAATGAAGTGAGTGAGAAGGAAGCTCATGGGATAAACAAACCGCTAACAAATCGGGTAGCTTACAGGATTTGAGATATCAATGTTTTGTAGCAGGATAGTTGTGATAACACTCTCAGGGCTATATAAACACCTGCTTAGCACACTTCCGTTCATTCCACATGGTGCTGCAGTGGCAGCTGGAGGGCAGTGGAGAGAGGAAGGGAGGATGAGGAAGGGAAGCGAAAAATCTACCGTCATATCATGATTGTGTCCCTTCTACTGTATGAAACACCATTGTGTTGCATACGCGTCACTTCCAGGAGGTGTTGGTGTCACAGGAGGAAGGGACCATAGCGGAGGATAGAAAGCTTGCGCAGGAAAGGAAGGTCCCGGCGGTTGACGGGGGACTAATCTGGTAATATAAATAATGGCCGTAATAACTCCGTATAGCATACTTCCTAGCTTTTTACTAATTCCCTCTTTTGTAACAGGGTATCTTTTTGGGAGACAGCACATTCGAGTCAGAGCGGTATGGTCTTATTATCCTTTGATATTTATGACCGTATCGTGATTGAAATAAAGGATAAAGGATAAAGCATTTGCCGTTGATCAATCCCTTTTGGGATGCGGCACGCATTCTACTTCCATTTGTACATTCGTAGTGGCGTTTGAATGCGATGTGGCCTATACAATGACTTGCGGGGGCCAGCCGATGTACAAGTCAGTGTTTTATCCTCCCAGACAAGTCTGGTACCAATTAACCGACCCCGGAGGGATGGAAGGCTTGGTTGGCCCGGGCGACTCACGACCCAGGATTTGATCCCCGGACCGCTCGCGTGGTAAGCGTGCCACTTGCCACTACACCACTTCCGCCCTCTTCGATGAATATTATTTGCGGTAGAAGGTGTTGAGACACTTTTTCATCAGCTTCGTAGAAAAGTCTGACGTATGTATGTACCGGTACAGAAAGCGTCCGCGAAATTTAAGCAGGTGAAATTGTTGCCTGAAGTAGCAGTGATCACTACCGCAACGTCTGAAAAATTGAGGGCGTCAAGAATAAATAGACTCATCCTAAAATGGGTTCTCGCGAGTATTGAAGCGGTGATTGAGGCCGGCGCCAATCGGCGCTTCAAATACTCGGAGACCCATTCCCGTTCGCGTATGCCCACATAAATGAATCGCTACATAAGCGCCGTGCAAGCACTTGGCAGTGTAAAACTTGTTTGCGCCTTTTTGGAGCACTTAACAGCACTTACAAATCGGGCAAAAAGGCATAACTCTAATTGCAGTTGTTCTATACAACTCTCATGGGAAACCAAAACTTGCAATGTGCGCCCAAAAGTAAAATCGAAATGTTTGAGCGGGTATACATATTTGATACCGTTGTGCATACTCGGAAATGCACCACCGGCACTATTAGGAAGCACATTTTAAGGCTAAATCGTAAGTGCTTGACCCTGTTCCCATACATTAGAATAGTGGATTCTTTCGCATTCCTCCACAATTGTGTCACCATACTCACCAGGAAATAAAAGTTTTGCCCGGCTTAGTTTCTGAAGTCGCGCACTACTAAAGAATTGTGCTGCTAGGTGAAAGATGTAGGGTTGAGATAAATATGTGGATTTAAGAATTATGGTATAAGGATCATCAAAAAGGATGGAGTGTAATTGATGTGTTTGTTCAACGAAATGAAAATCCATTGTATAGATGCAAAACAATCCCAGGCGCCCTGCTGATGGTATAAAATGCTTCAAATAAACTAGTAGTGCCCGTCGATCATTTCCCACCGGAACAAAGGTGGACAAACAGCGGGAAGTCTTGGAAGGGACGTTTGCCTGACCGCACCTTCGAATGTAGAAGTGGTGGAGGCGAGTGGGAAAGGTACGAAAGTAACAAAAAGAGTCCATAAAAATGAAATTGTATTTCCCAGCGCTATAACAATAACCTCGCATTTATTTCTCTGTCTCCATCAACTGCTTGGGCGGAAGTGGTGTAGTGACAAGTGGCACGCTCACCACGCGAGCGGTCCGGGGATCAAATCCTGGGTCGTGAGTCGCCCGGCCAACCAAGCCTTCCATCCCTCCGGGGTCGGTTAATTGGTACCAGACTTGTCTGGGAGGATAAAAACACTGACTTGAATGTACAAATGGAAGTAGAATGCGTGCCGCATCCCAAAAAGGGATTGATCAACGGCAAATGCTTTAAGCCTTTTATCCAACCGCTCGGTAGGACTTTTGGGAGAGAGGTTGGAGTGTGTTTGGTTGAACTAGGTTCAACGATACCATTGACTACTTCGATCAGGGGAAGTGGTATCGTGGGAAAGGCGGACTGTGGGATACCGAGACTTCCGTTGAAGGGGGTGTGTACTGCATCTCACTGCACTCCTTGACTCGATGTTCATCTCGAAATCATCCTGCTGCGAACAGGGAAAATTGAAACTGTTGAAGCTGCCTTTGCAATGCCCTAGCGCCCTTGTCAGGCGATTTCCACGCACAGGAGTTCCACATTGTGATTGTCCAGTAGGGGCTTATACTACACACCGAAAATAATCGCATATCCGAATTCTGCATGAGTCGTGCCTTTAAGTAATCAAATACAAATACTGTAGCAAAACAGGGTCATGTTCTGGATTTCAGATCGAAGCTCAGCTGACTACTTGCGCCTTACTGATGGAACCTCCACAGTTGCAATTCGAGCAACCACTCCAAGACATCGAAGTTCAACAAGGAGACTCGATCACACTCTTCTGCAGTGTTTTCGGAGCACCTCAGGTTGGTGAAAGGCGATCCTTGGTGGATGCAAATTTGCTACTATTTACCTCAGAATTTACGAAATTGGACCGCTCTTTTGTGTTCGTAGGCACCGTACATTACATGCTTGCGCAGGCCTTTTTGAAGACCGTTCATAAATTCCACTAACTGATCACAGGCTTCCCTTTTGAGCTTTCCCAGATACTCATTCATGTTGATAGCCTCATCCAATCACATCCAATCCCAGGCAGCCATCAAGTGGTTACATCGGGGACGAGTTGTTGCCGCGTACACAGCGCCATCAGTGGAATCCGCAGTGCACGCAACTCGCATCGCAAGTGGATTGATCGAGACCAGTACGTCTGATCCCTTCCCTTTCATTCTTCTCCATCATCACGTCCATTTCCAGAACTCTTCGTGCCGTGCGTGACTCGACACTCCCTCGGTGAATACACCTGCGAAGCAACATCGCCTTGCGGCGAAGTGATCTCATCGACAGCTGTTGTCGGTCTTTCCAATTCATTCAGAGGTGGTAACGTTAAGAGAGCGAGGGAAGACCTGATTAGCCTCGATTCCAATTAACGATACTGGTTCTTTTTTGTTGAATTTTTTGCCTTTTGTGTGATTCCTGAACCAAGCCGAAAGTGCTCTTCACAATTTTTTTCTTTGCTTCCTTTTTGGCTTACGCGGATTTAATTTCATCCTCATCGACTTCCTTGGACGGGTTGCAGCAGCGCCCTCATAATCCTCCCTCAGGCCAGTGCATTCTATATAAAAACCATATCTCAATGAATACTAAGCGACTTATTACATGCGAGGCAGAATTCTCGATGAAGGCCTGACCAGGGGCGTCCTAATATTCCCTTTGCCTTCTGGTTTAGTTGGCCGACCACTCTTGGAGCGGCAGAAGTGCCCCTGTAACATGCTTCAGATTCACGAAACTTTGAGTTCGCGGCTAACCAGGAAAGGTCATTTGGTCAACCCGGCCAATTGAAATGAGATGTATATGTGTATACGCGCCTTGGGACGCTGAGCTCAAATATGTGTTCCTTATCTGCTGAACTCTTCTCTGAAAGGAATTATGAAGCAGAAAAGCGCAGGGGCTGTGGTCGAGGCTCACGAAAAAGAGGTCAGGGGATCGACTCCTTGGCGAGCTTTGTTCTTTTGCCGTTTGCAGTAGCTAGGAAGATCCCCAACATCGGTAATTGAACATGCTTGCGTAGCTAACCGTATAAAGAAGTTAAGGGCAATTAATAACGAACTTGGGCGGCATCGCTCCTCACTAGTTTAGACGCTTGTAGCGCACGTGTCAGGCATTTTTGCTTCGAGCAAGTGTGATATTCGTAATCAGGGAGTCAGACTCTCCCTTTGAGCAAACTTCTAGCCAATTCTGAAATTTTGACCTAACCTCGAAAATTTGGGCAGTCACTTACTCACCGATCCACCTATCCATTATAAAAGGCTGGCACTTGGGTAGAATGAACCTTCTGTAAATTTTTCAGAACAGACAAAAATTGTGTCTGGCTAGTCCGTCTGCATACTCCGAAGATCTGCAAGGCATTATTCCTAGATAGAACCCCTCTTTCTCCTCTCCCCCGTCGTCCATGATTGGTCAACCCAAAAATGTGGAGTTTGAGGAGTGGTAATCCCATCACTGCTCCGCTTTTTCTCAATTACTTCGTGACCTCAGGTTTGGCGAAAAACTCGTTTCTAGGGGTATTTTGATCCCTCTGAATACGAATATCGCACCTACTTGCCAAGGGAAAGCCTGGTACCTGCACTACGGGCATCGTATAACTAAAAGGCACTCGAGCTTAAGAGAATTTGCTTGCAAACTTTCTGTATGTGTAGCGTGGGGCAACCACTGATAATATAACGGATTCGAAAAGGTTTTCTTGGCTATGTTGACAAAAAGCGAAACACCAAACTCCGGCGGGATATGAATACCACCGTCAGCAACGCTTTGCTCAAAAGGCGAGACGCTTTCAGCTGCGCTACCGAAGCTCACTACACCGGTTTGTTCGGTTCTTCCTTCGAGACTTCTTATAATGAGCTAACATGTGATTGCAGGCAAAACACTGAAAATCAAGGGCGGCAACAAAAACCCTCCGTAACTCCTTTCAGAGAAGAGTTCAGCAGATAATGAAAGCAGATTTGAGTTCAGCGTCTCATGCTGCGTACAGAAATGTGCACCTCATTTCATTTGGCCGGGTTGGCCTAATGACCTTTCCTGGTAAGCCTGGAAGAGGAGAACTGAGCTGCGTAACAGCGGTTCTCGCTACGGAGACGCTTCTCTGCTTGGCTTAGTACAGTCGGCCTCCGATAGACTGCCCCCGCCCCTCAACGAAGGCACATTGCGCCCTTTGTTTCGTACAGTAACAAATTATCCACTTCAGAATAGCGATGAAGTCAATTGGTCAGCATCAGGGTCAGGGAAGGAAATGTTCGTCGAACCTGTTCGAATAAGAACTACGAGTATTACTGCTGAAGTCTGCCTTTATTGAATACTTGAAGGATCAGCATGGGTTCCTGGAACACGTGAACAACTTAGCTCGTTGATTTTATTAGCGTGCTGGAAAATGAGATGGGATTTCACTTACGTCTACTGTTCATGACATCGCAGATTAAAAACAAGCTCCACAGCTGATGACTGGACGATCAACCGTCGGCGGAAGGATCGGTTCATTGTTGCTCTTTCCTTCTAATGACATATTGGGATTATTAATGGACATTATTTGTACATTTCGGAGACGTCTGCTTTCTTTTCTCACTTTCAAAAAAAGCATGAGCTTCCTTAACATGACACACACTCGACTTCAAAATAGAACAAAAATGGGTGCTAAGTAAGTTTGGTGGGGGGGGCAAGTGGTGGCGGGGCGCCTACCAAACACAATGGCACTGATCTTAGAAGGAGGCTTCAATGTGCCAAAAGTCAAAGTTACAAATCATTGCTCACAGATTACTCACTCCTTCATATGCTCAAGCTTACTATTAGTCCCATCGCAATTGGAAGGTGACGTTACCGGTAGTCTTCCCCCCCTCTCAATTAGACCTTAAAATGCGCCCAGTTTTGTAGGTGTCCGATCAAGTGGACAGACTCCTCTCGCTCAACTTAACTTATAAAAACATCATTTTGCTAGATAGTTGTTCTTATTTGTGCAGAAAACTACTTATTTTGTATAGGCCTGTGAAGTTCCTCAATTCTGATTCCTGTGCGCTTATGTTTTTCTCTACAGGAGCACGGTCTTGAGATCAAAAAACCACCCACGTGCTCGGACCAAGATGGCAGGGGGTTGATTGCCAATGACGTTCCTGTCAGTTTGCTGACTACAATTCGCTCTGTTTGCATAGGCAAAAAGTTCTTCATTCTGCTGAAGATTGCGTTGTTGAGCAAACATCCATCCATGGTCTCATCAAAGAGATGTCGACAAAGGAAATCTGTTCAAAACAGGGCCCTGACGTCAATTTCTCATAGATGCACATATCCTCCAACGCGAGTTCACGAGCGCACTGTTGCATAGGGCCATCGAAGCATCAACTGCCTCCCAATAGTTGTTGGCATGATGCCAGCCCTTTATTGGCCATTAAACAATGAGCAAAAAGACTTTCTAGTTTCCTGGTTTTTCACAGTTTCTTTTAGTTGCTCTTTTGAAAGACACCAACTGGCATCCCTAGTTTATTGCGTAGGCTGCCTTTGAGCAATCGTTAGTAATCAAATGAAGAGAAACAGAACCTTTCTGGAATTAGAAAAATTGAATTGAAGTTCAAAGCAGTGGAGTTTATAATCTGGGACGATAGTAAACTATTCTTGACGCAATTAGAGGTGGTGAGCAGAGGTCTTTAGCATGGAATAAACTGGGACAACTGTGAATTGACCACCACGAGCTTCCCTAACCTGCTCGACAAGTACAGAGTAATAACAACAAGAGCAAACGAACGAACATTTGAAAAAAAGGCTGCAGAAAGCTGCTGAGGAATATGCGATTGACTTCAGCTCTTACCTCGTGGAACCGATCAGGGAGAAGAAAGATACGGGTTAGTGGAGACGCAGAGGTCCACGTTTGTTACGTTGACCCTCCAGTAAAAATCCTTCGGAGTACTTTTTACTCGGGGGTTCAAGGTGGCATCTGCGCCTCCACAATTTCATTGACGTTCTTTCTTCTGTCCAAGTGCTGGTAATTATAGAAGCCACAAAGGCACATCCACCACCTCGCCCTATGACTTCTGCCATTTACCAGAGAGAGAGAGCGTTAGCGATGAAGAGGGCAGCACCGAAGAGAGTCGCATCAAGGCGGAAATCAACGGTCGATGCGGAAATCAACAAAGGTGCCGTTTCTCAAGTTGTAAGCTGTTTGCTCACGGTTTCTTCTTCATCTTTGTACCCCTGACCACCTCTACCTCGATCTTTAATGGGCTGCCTCCCCTTTGAATGAGGGGCGGGCGTTTGGGAGTTTTGTCTCAATTAGCTTGCATTTCTTGCTGGCTCGTGCCAGCTTTGTAAAACCCTAGCGCCGCTGTCGCGCACTTTCGAGCCGCAACAACGGCACATCTGCTGTTTACACATCGGTTTTTACTCTATCCCCTTAATTGAATACAACTATTCGAGGACGACTTCTGGAGTGTTGCCTTCAAGTTAAGATAGTGGTGAGTGAAGAAACGTAATAGTAAAAAGGTAAGAAAGCCAATAAAGTACTGGGTTCGCTTGTGTACTCGGTTTGCTCATTTCAGCTAAACCATCATGCAATGTGACCCGCAAAGCGATTCCGCCGACAATCGCAGTCTCAACAGTGTCACGGCTCGAGTTGGCCGGCTCTCCGGTCCAGCTGATGTGCCGAGCGACTGGAGTGCCAAAGCCAAAAGTCGTCTGGCAACGAATAACTGACGACGATGAGCTTGAAGAAATCAACAGCGAATCAAATATGGTGAGACATGCTCGATTTGATCTGATTTCATTGCATGAGCGTTGATCTCATGGTAAACTAAGGCACCCAAAACCGAGAATCATCACTCAAACAACTATAACACAATACGATTGCACGAAATAGCACCAGAAATCAAAATATAAAGTCTACCTTAGCTTTATCCATTATCCTTAGCTATTCTATAAAGAGGCCTAGCTAAGTAGAGCTATAATATGTAGTTGCGATATACCGCTTTACCTGGCTTCAGCACCTTTTCATCATCTCTTCTGAAGGCATAAGACTTGGATATCCCTGCACATCACCGAAATCAGCGACCTCTCGCGACTTCCCAGTCAACGATCCTACGTTCCGAGTCCCAATCAGGGTCAACCCTATCGTTGTTACTCTTCGGAAATTTTTTTACGACCCCCCCCCTTCATGGGTGATTTGATACGACCCCCCTTGTATGTAACACTTGTGTAGAGGCAGTGTTGCCATCACTATTTATTGCTACGTAAGTCCCTAGCCTCCTGACGGTGGAGCGCATTTGCTCACGGTCAAGAGGCGTCGAACGGGGAGTGTGAAAATTCGAGTTTTTCTTTTTTACATTTCAGGTAGTTCGGAAGATTTAGGTGGATTTTGGATCGATGTGGCTCCTCCTTCCTAACGAGTGCTCATTTGTTCTCAAACACTTCGGAATGAATAAGTTATTAGGCAAAAAATAAAATTGAAACACGATTTTTACACTCCTCTTTCTAGGGCTATAACTTCCTTCATATTCGAGCTTCTGCGCCGAAGTGATTTGATTTGGAAAATTCAAATTATTCTCTCTCCAACCATGGGTAAAAATTCTTCGAAAGTTAATTTAATAAAAATTTAGTACGTTGTTACTTTTTTCTGTGCAAAGCGACTTTTTGACCTTCAAACGATCATAACTTCCTTCAAAGTCATTCATTTGGGAAGCTGAACACGTATAATAAACTACAGGATTCAAGCTTTCTAACGAGCACCCAAGCGTTCCTGAAAGATCAGTAGTTCAAAAATTAGTCCCGTTGTTACTTTTTTGGGGGTTTGCGTTACTATTTTTTTGGAACCGCGACTTTTTGACCTTCAAACGATCATAACTTCCTTCAAAGTCATTCATTTGGGAAGCTGAACACGTGTAATAAACTACAGGTTTCAAGCTTTCTAACGAGCACCCAAGCGTTCCTGAAAGATCAGCAGTTCAAAAATTAGTCCCGTTGTTACTTTTTTTTTGAGGGGTATTCTTCAAGCCATTTTCTCGAAAACGCGAGTTTTCTTAGGTTTCACTGCCCGTAACTTCTTGGAAGACCAATTTTATGTTTAATTTAGGATGTGCTAGAAAGCTCCGAGCATGCGCTTGCACTACATCCCTTGCCTTGGTGCGCGCCACGCCTCGGGCGCCCTTCTAATTCGCTGATTCATTTGAAAGCTCATTTAGAGGGAAGCGTGTTTATATATGCTCTAGTGTATCAGTCATCTTACGAAAACGTAACGTGCTGGCTATTATCCGATATTACCAAGAATCCCACTGTCGGCCACCGAGAGGGTACGACCCCCTCCAAGCTCAACTGAGTACGACCCCCCCCCGTTGTTACTCGTAACAACGTAGGGTTGACCCTGCGTTCCAATTCGAACTAGCTTCTTTGGCCGAGGCCGTTCACTCCTCGGTAGCCCTCGCATACTGACCACAGAACTCGGGCGGGGGTTCTGCGCGCCACTTCCGGGTGACGTCCTAGCTTTATCACTGATTCCTTTTTCGACTTTAGACATATTTGTTGTGACGGCGGGTCTTCCATCACTGACGCTGGTACTAGAACCATTTTTGCAATTTTTGCAGGGCATGGTTTCGAGCCTCGGCAGGGATCGAACTCGCGGTTTTTCAGAGGTGCAGACATGAGTCTAACCTCTTAACCACTCGGCTATCCCTGCCTTGACCGCTTAACATGGTGAAAATATGTAGGATCAAAGGAACTTCACCCATCCTTGCCGAAAAGTTTCGAATTGGCGCGCTTTTGAAGCTTTTACTCTCTGCGCTCGGGCTATCCTCGGCCCAAATGACGCAGAACACAACTATGTGCCCCAACCTCGAATTTCACCCTTTGCAATTGAGGACTGGTACAGCGAATGCTGTTCGTATAAATTTCTTTAGGAGACCGAGGATTTCCTGGACTACTTTAGCGAACTTTCCTATTGTGCATACTTTGGGACAACTTGTTGTCTGTTTTCAGTTTTTCCTTACATTCCAACATTCTTACGATATGCCATTATGCCTAAGCTTCATCTGAATAGCTGTTCCTTCATAAATGGCTTCATTTCTTAGATGTTTTGCCACTTACTATGCGGTTATTTTGACGATTGCAGGTGCTCTCGAACGGTGACCTCTTGGTAGTAGCAGACCTTCAGGTGGCTACCGAATCCTATCGATGCACGGCGAGAAATCCGAGCGGGACCGCTTCAGCTGATAGTACGATAGTGTTTGTTGACGAGAATTGACCGGTCTCTGGCCTATCCAGAGCCCACATTGTCTGTGCATCGGACCCCATGTATTTGATTATCTACTTCAAATGATCTCTCCGTCACTGTGGAACCCTAAATAAACTCGTCGTTGTTAAGCACTCTGTGAACCTTCATAGCAATTTACTCATTTCATCGTTCTCAGCAGCACAAGCGCGGAACCCCCCATCTGCAAGGGAAGGTCAACATGTCAACTCGGCTGTTCGCGTTGGGGCACACACCGTTGGGGTACCCGACAGGAGGCCCGTCGCGCGACAAAGTCAGCGGACGAGTCAACGCGTACTGTAGTGGTTTCGCGTCAAGTTAAAAAGAATGTGCCATTGTACGTCCTACATCGCACAGCACGCGCTGCGA